AAACGGGAAAAAAAAAAAAAAAAGAGAAGATCTTCATATAATTAACTGCCTGAGTATAAACTGCTTTATCTATCTCTTCTGTTTCTTCCTGTTGTATTTTAAATAATTAAAAACTTTACATAAAGGCATGTATCTTCTTACCCCAGAGTGCCATGAAGACTGAGAAGAAGACAGTTGCAGGGTTATCAAACAGATGACTTGCACGAGCAGTCGCACAAGCAGAGCTCATCTTCCAGTAACTGCATGTTCTGTCACACAAGGGACACATGGTGATGTTGTTTCTCTGGTCACACATTTCCATACTGCAAAGAAGCAACCAGATAGATAAGAGGCACAGTCAGTATGACTCCATCTTCCATGTTCCAGTGATCTTTTCTCCTTTGCACAGCACCTGCTTCTGGTTTGTAGGCCCAGCAGATCCTACCCTCCCAAGTGCTTCCCAGCTCTTGCTCCAGCAAGTGGCTCTGCCTGCAACCTACCCCATTGTAGGGGCTGAAATCCTCACACAAAGCTGCTGTCTTCCTCCATCCCCAGCCTTATTTATATTCCAGGGAATAGGAGAGATGCAGTATGAGATGCATAAGGTTCTATGCTATTTACTATAGGATCTTGCAGTAAAAAAAAAAACAAAAAAAAACAACAAAATTCAAAATTAAAAATCATTCTGGTTTTGAAATACTAACTACAGCAGTAGATAAGGGACACGGGAAGTGCTGGGGATCAAGAGTCTGGAGTTCAACCAATTTCTTTTCTATGCACTCTATCTGTGAAACAGCAACAGCAACCCTCCCTTTGACTTTCTTCAACTGCTGGAAGCAGTACAAAGCAATCCTAGTGAACAAAAAAACCCATCTATTTTTTGATATCCATTATCTGCTTTGTTACTCAGGGCTCATGGTTATACTACAAACTGTGTAATTTTCTTCTCCAGCTGATGATACAGGCAGGGCAAATAATGCCAAATCATAGGGCTTTAAGAACATTATAATACAAAACTTACTAAAATGAAAAATAGTACAATGTCAAGATTTTGTTAATCTGATCAGTGGCTTATTTGAGGCATGTGTATTCTTGGTTCATCTTTATGTCACACAATGCCTTCTGCAGCATTTTATGATGGCACGCACTAAACCCTATCATTAGCAGTATTTTGTGGTTTGTTTTAACATAATGATCTGAGTTAGGGAAAAAAAACCAACAACCACCTGAGCAACCGGCCAAGAATTATTTTTAGTACATAGATGCAAACTGCACAAGTCAAATTAACAATAAACGCTAATGATTTAAAACCGTGCTGCAGTTCTGCTGCCTGCTCTCAGCCCTTGGGAGCGCTCCATAGCTTACTGTGGGACTGCAAACTCACCATGGGCAGGGACACCTTCCACTAGAGCAAGTTGCTCCAAGCCCCGTCCAACCTGGCCTTGAACACTTTATTAACAAAACATTTCTAGAGAAAGGTAACTTTGAGTTTCTAGTAACCTCTGACAATAGAATGTATTTATTTCTTTAGTTTACCTTGGTATATTCTCATCCACTGTCGCACAGCCATATAGAAAAACGATAATCCCAACAATTGAAGCTGGAATAAGCATCTGTGTATAAACTCCCAGCCAGGCAAAATATAGTCCAATCTTCTCTCCAAAGTATTTTCTGAAATACATTTTAAAAAGAGAAATGAGAGAGAGAAATGTTTCCTATTTCTTAAAATATAACATGGCTATATTTAAGGATCACAGCTGGATTAAGCATGGAGAAAGTAAGATCCGGTGATCTGTGGGAATTTTTGTCTTCTCAGAGGACTGTCTTTCTCAGGATGCTTGGAGTTAATCCAGAGATACAGGCACCATGAAAGCAAGTCATGTCAATCTAGTAATCTTTTCCCCTGCGTTTCTGCTGTGTAAATTGGTATCTTTGGATCTTCTGTGAGCAAATTCTCCTAAAAAAGCACCACATTTTCTTCAGAGAGTCTCAGCTCTCACCATAAGCAAACAAAATTCATTAAAAATATATCCCCTGCAAGCTTTCACATTAGGTGGGATACATTAGCTTGTGTCTAAACTCACAGAAAACTCCTTTTCTCCCAATGAACATCCATTCCCTGGAATCCCCCAGGGGGGCACTGAGGGCAGCATCCCCGTGGGGACACCCACATGAGCATCACCGTGAACAGGTTCAGTGTTCCCCATGGAAACATGTCAGGAAGGGCTGAACTCTCACCTCACCAGGTCGATTGGCTGGTATTTGTAGAAGACACCGTAGCTTGCCCACTCCTCACAAAGGAGCTGTGAAACAGAAAGGCAAAGGAGAAATCTAAAGCACTTGGACACAAGCATTTTCTCCTTTGGGTCTAGTAAACTGCAGAGCCCAGGATGTGGATCCGGTCTCACTGCTTTGTGGTTTCAACCCATCATCTGCCAATACACGCAGAGTGCATTAAGTATTAAAAACAAATTTGATGATTTGGCATGCTGTAATACAGTGATGAATTCTAGTACATTAAAAGGCTCTTCAGCAACTGGATTGATGGGTAATTATAGCAGGGACAGGGAGAGCAGTCCTGATTTTATGATCTGTAGAAGGTATCTAGCAGAATGGATGTGAAAGATGAATATGCTTTGACTTAGAAGACAGAAAAAAAAATAGAATGAACGGGTTTGTTTTCACTATACAAACTATAATATTCAGCATCCATCAAGAGGTGCTGTGCAGAGGTGCCTCAAAGGCTGCATTTAAGAGTTTTTCAGCTTTAAAACTAAAAGAACATGATGATTTCCACTTATTCTTTTGGTTAGGATAGAGGCCAAGGAAAACAATGATCCCCATTAGTGATTTATAAAATTGAGTCCCTCACGAAAATAGGTTCCTCTGAGACCTTCAACTTATCTTTTACTTTGTAAAATATATAAATAGTGCTTCTCAGATCTGATTTTTTCTTAATTCAGTTCAGCTAAGAGTGAACAAGATGTCAGCATGCATACAAAAATACTGGAGAAAACAAACTGTGCTTGCTGGCCACCCAGCCGTCACCTCCTCTGTGGAACAGGCGGAAAACAAGCTTGGCATCTGCTTGTGAAGTCAGGTGTCCCTGCACTGTTTCTCTCTCTGCTTCAACCCAGTGACATGAACTTGGTAGCAGGATGTTCCTTGGCCACATCAATTTTTGCTTCTGTGCCCTCATTTTTCATAGAATCATAGAATCTCAGACTGGTTTGGCTTGGAAGGACCTTAAAGCTCATCCAGTTCCAACCCTCTGCCATGGGCAGGGACACCTTCCACTAGACCAGGTTGCTCCAATCCCCATCCAACCTGGCCTTGAACACTGCCAGGGATGGGGCAGCCGCAGCTTCTCTGGGCAACCTGTGCCAGCGCCTCAGCACCCTCACAGTGAAAAGTATATTAAGATTAACCTTGTTCATAGAAGAATAAACCAAACAGGAAGTTGCTTCAATCTGTAGGCTATTTTATCATGAGAAGCTTGACAGATGTCAGCCTCCTCCATCTCTCCAGTGAAATGCCCCACTGCTGCCCGGGCCCATTCCTAATTCTTGCCTTTTATCACAGAGAAGTCATGCAGCCAACAGCATTTCTAGAGCAGTTCTGCAATCCTCCTGCCAAAGCATTAACACAAACTTTCCAAGCTGAACTGCTATACTTCTTGTGCAAATAGATTCAATTGTTCAAAGAATTACAACTTCTTTACTTTTACAGAACTACCACATCAAAATCCAAGTGGAGTGTGGATTTTGCCCTCCGCAATCGCAGATCATTAACCTGTATTAGTTTCCTTGCAATAGGAAGAGCAGAGACTGAAACTAAAGGCAGGCCTTTACTAAACACCAACATCCTTGAAAATTTTGTTTTTATTCTGTTTTAAGTTTCTTTCAACCATATTTTCGAACAGTTTAAGGCCAGCTGCCTATGTCTGGGAAACAGCTAAAAATTTGGGACAATATCCCTATGCACTAGCTAAGATCCTCTTATTATTTATTTTTACTTTATTTTTACAAGCTGAGTTTGTGCTGGCTATTAGATTATTTTTCTGTGATCTAAGCTGGTCAGGCATATCAGAAAAATGCTAAACTAAGGAGATTTTGCATCAGTGCCATGTTTTAGTTTTGTACAACGTTCAAACGAAATTTGTGCCTAAAGTACAAATGAACTCTCTCATTTATCCTGACATTTATCAACCTGATAATGGTTGATAAATAGCTTCAAAGACATGATTAGAGGAGATCAGTGCATTAGCCCTAAATATTTACTTCCTTTCTATGCCTCAAATCTTTAATTTTGTTATTAGAAAAAGCACAAGCCTGGCCTAGCACTGGATTAGATTAAAGAAAGCTTCAAGAAATCAGAAGAAACATGCCAAAACACACCAAAAGATTATTTGAGGCAACTGGAAGTCAAAAGCCAAGGTGAACATTTCCAAACACAGAGTGAACTTTTGAAAAGAGTGTATTTGTGAGGTTTGAAAAGTTAGTAATAGAGATGATAATCCAGACAGTTTGAGAAAACATGGACTTTCATCCTATTTTTGGTTGAGCAATGCGTTGCTTAATAATGAAATGACAGGTATGTGGTATTTTTATCACAAATCAATAGAGGTAGGGAGGGAAAATAACAGTCGCTATCTTTTGATGAGCCATTTGCACATTAAGGCCCAGCAGACCTTCAGTTTTGGGTACCTATTTTTAGATTACCAACCTGAAGGGCTTTAGATCAGCTTTTCCTACCACCTGAATGTCCACAGCATTTCTTTGGAGATGTGACAATGAAACAAACTGTAAAGGTTCAAGTCTGAAAACTTGACATATATGGCACCCAAATTTAATGGCTCCTTCTGGGACAACTGGTTATAACATTTCTACTTTAGGTTGTGAGACAAAAAACCTCTCTTCTTTATGTGTGACCAGCAGTATGTAGAAATTGTACTAAAGTATTGAATTTACAAAATCAACATTTCTGCAAAGAGTGAAAAAATTGCTTTTTCTTATGGAAATATTTCCCTGTAATCATTCCTACTCATTTTACCACAATTAACAAATTTCTTTCAGTGTACAGACAATAAAAACTCAATTTCAATCACAGACTTAGGCCAAAAGTGATGCAATGCAGCAGTACACATCCACAGGGCAGCTTCTGGCTAAGCAGCACACATTAAAGCTTTGCTGCGAATGTTTTCGTTCTGATAAATATTCAATCTTTATCTCTCCCAATAAATTCTATGCTTATGTTTTCAACTGCCTCCCTTCTGTCCCCACCAGTTCTGATCCTCACACTCCAGATCACAGCATGTTAATTCAGCAGAGGTTGCAGTGCTAAGACCAGAGCTCACCATGGAGCAAAGCAGGATCTATGTCAGATACAGATACCAGATTACAACTGAGCATATTCTCATCAGAGCTGGCCTGAAATTACATCATCTGAACTTTAGGAGTTCTATGTAAATGCTGTCAGTACTTTTAACAGCATGGCAAGAAATGTAACATTATAAAGACAATATTCAGGCAAATGTAAACCTTGGAAAACACTGTATTGCTACTGCTTGGCATTTAGGGGCTTTTTTTTCGTGGTATTCCAACAGGTGACTCCTCAGTCTTGGACTCCTGCAAATACATTAAACCTCCTTGATATCAACTTACTTTTCTGTCGTTAGGTTCAACATTTTCACCTTCATAGTCACCCTTGAAAAATAAAAAACAACATAAAATGTGCGTCAGTCAGTGAGTCGCGCCCAGAACTGCTTTGCATCTTGCATACCCATGTGTCCCGCTCACTTAATGCATCAAAACCAGAAAAAGCAATCTGTAAAATAATTCTGTATTTTAGGAGTTCATTTGTCATAGCACACTTTGTCTTCTGTTGGCAGGCACATTAAGAAAGAGTAATAATGTCTGTCACTGGGGCAAAAGGAATGAATAAGTGATAAAGGTGGCCTAAAAATGTCAAGGGAAAGGATGTGGTATTGCCATGGTATTTGGGGTTCAGCTCAGTCCACTTGAAAGAGAAGAGAACAGCTGGGAGAGCTGATCCCTATCCAGACTCTCCAAACACTCAGGGCTGATTAGATTTGAGGTTTTAATTTGGAGCTATTTTTAAATATGATAAAGGAGTAAACCAAGTCAGTAACTTATATACAAGACTATCAGTAGCTGTCTAAAGACTTGAGACAAGTACATGCAGAGAAGTTATTTAACCTTTCTGGATTTCTAGATGATAACGCTGTAGTTGAAGAATTCCTGACATTTATGATAAACATCAGGCAGATAAAGACGCTGTTCTGATCTCAGTTACGCTCGTGGACCCGAGTAAAAGCAGTGTGAATGAGGGGAGTGGAAAACTAGGAAGACACACTTCATCTTCACATCCCATGCCAGAAAACCAGGTCTTTTACGCTCACACAGCCAGTACGTTGTGAGCAGTATGACTGCCACGTTACCTTGATATCTGGCAAGCCTCTCTGTAAGGGTCTAGCTAAAAGCAAGAGTGTTTGTCAGTTCCAGTTGTACCTTGAACCTGTGCACCTCTGGCACGATTGACTAGAGTGCCACCAAAATTCCCTCCTTCTCTCTAACCCTCTCAATTAACACTATAGTTGAACACACCCTTGACATCTTACTGATCTGCTCAAAAGCAGATTTCATCAGGAAGGAGGTCTGCAGGCACATCCAGTCCCATGAAAGATGTCACTTCGAAGTCTTGCTTATGGTTCTTATGGTCTCTGTACTTGCAAGGGGGATGCCAGGGAGATGTGCATGAGAGAACTCGCTACTGACTGCCCCAGGAATAAATATGTTTCCTAGCACTGATGCCAGGGATCGTGGGTGCAGAAGGTCAGCAAATAACAGAAACATTTCATTTGCTAAGCCACCAAAACAACTCTTCTAATGTTACATTCAAATGTCAGTTATGATCATCAAAGGCAGAACAGAGGTGGAGAATACATTAAAAGCAAGCAGAATGATGGAAACAACCTGCAGAAGTTATTGTAGTCATGATACAAGCAAGCAGGAGGTCATGTTTGAGATGATGCCATTAATACATAACACATTAAGGGTTTCTTGGTGTCAGGTAGCAGACATGTAAAATACACTGCAAGATCACTTACGTCATGCAAAGGATATGCAGCACTGTAAACCCCATTGGCAAGTAGGCTGGTGATCCCTTAAAAAATAAAGACATAATAGTTATTTATAATTTCGAGGTTAGACAGTTTTGCTTTATCATCCTTCCTGAAGATTTCCCTCAAAATAACAGTCGTTTGGTCAGAAAATGATTTTCCTGCCATCTCATTCCTTTCCATGTAGTTTCATTTTTAATCATAGAGGTTATTAAACACGACTCATTTTATGAAATGGAAAACTGCAGAGAGCAAGAGGAAGTCATATATATTTGAGAATCAAGAATTAGAAGCCAATGACTTGAAATTAGTCATTAAAATAAATTGCATTTTCTGAAAAGTCAGTTTGATTGAAGGGCAAGCCTGCAGGTTTGAAAGTGTGTAGCAGAAGGCTGGATCACAAGAAGAACATGGCTGGAACTAATGGCATACGGGAACACACATACACACACACCATCCACACAAAGTTTTGAATTCAG